CCTACCACGGTTCTCCCCACCTCTGAAACTGTAAGCCAGGTCCCAACTAAATGCTTTCTTTCCTAAGAGTTGCCTTGTGCCTTCCCAGCAACAGCACAGAGACTCAGACAGCAGGCTGAAGCAGAATGGGACAGGCTCTGCTAGGGGCCCCAGATACTATCCAATAGTGTCCTCAGCTTTCTTGGTTAGTATAGTCAACAAGTTTCTTCTGTTAGGATGTTAAGTCAGACAAAGAAGTGGGGAAGGCGTGGCTACTCAGGGGACTGAAGGTAGCCCAAGATAAACTGTAGTTAGGTTCCGGACCTGAACCCTCTAACTCTTTGCCATCGCCGAAGTTCTATGTTTAGCCAGCCTTTTGGGAGACTCAGGGAGAAGTGCAGCCACTCCAGGAGCTCCCACTCACAGGTGTGACCACTGGTACCTCTGATACCGGCTCGCAGAGGCAGGAAGGCTAAGAGGTTGAAGCCAGCCTAGGCTACACAGTAAGCCCTTACGTTAAAAACATATATAAAATGAGCCAGGGCAGTGATGGCGCACGCCTTTAATCCCAGCACTCGGGAGGCAGAGGCAGGGGGATCTGTGAGTTCCAGGCCAGCCTCGTCTACAGAGTGAGTTCCAGGACAGCCAGCGCTACACAGAGAAACCCTGTCTCAAACAAACAAACAAACAAACACAGTGTTTCACCTTTCCGCAAACCCTCTGTAATGAGCCTGTCTTCCGCCATGGCATAGGTGTCCTGAGTTCCCATCCTTTGTATTTATGCAATCACACAGCTACCTCCTCAGTCCTTGTAAATTAGTGACTAATGCTGGTTAGACCCTTGAATAGACAGAGAGAGACTTAGAAGCACAGTAAGCATACTTCTGTGCGTACATTTGAGGGTGTTTTAGAGAGGGTTGTGTCTGTCTGTGACGTGAAGACAAGTCCTCAAGCTGGACGGCACAGTGCAAGCCAGCCTTGGGCTTCGGGGATGGCTCTGGGTAAGGGCACTTACTGCACACACAGAAGGACCTGAGTTCTGATCCCTAACACCCATGTAAATGCACACACCCTCAATCCCGACACCCGGGAGGCAGAGGCAGGCAGATCTCTGTTAGTCTGAGGCCAACCTGGTCTGCATAGTGAGTTCCCGGCCAGCTGGGACTACATAGTGAGAACCTATCTCAAAAAATTAAAATAAAAAATTGTGTGTGACCATGATACCAGGGCTGGTGTGGGGAGGGTAACATGGCTGAGACATGAGTTGGGAGTAAAGGTGGGACCATCTGGCTGCTGCCATAACCAGAAAAAAAGAACTCAAGCTCCATGTTCAGTGAAGGAACACAAACACATAGAGGCGTATATACAACCATGCATTGCACACACACACACACACACACACACACACACACAACTCACCTATAAAAACACACAACACACAGCCCACACATACATATACACACCACACACATATACACACACACAACACAGACAACCCACACGCATATGCCCACACCACATAAATAATACCCAACACATGCACAGCACATACACACAGACATGTACACACAAGCCAAGATACATCTCCTGTTAAATTTTGTAACTTTTTGTGGTTTTATTTCTCCAGAGACTGCTGTTAACTGGCTATCTGGAATCTGTGTCGCTGGCCTAATTAATACCATGTTGTCCTTCTCTGGGTCCCCGTTGGCCTCTCTAACCTTTCTTTTTGAGTCACTCTATCCTATAGTAACCTTGGAACAGCAGAACTGATCAATGGGATTGATCAATAAGACTGATCAATAAGCATTTTGTGACACGGGACTGAAGCTAGCTCCAAGTCACGGTGAGCCTCACTTGATGGATCACCCCTAAAATGAGGGCGATTGTCCACAGGCAGTGGGGAGGTTCCAAGACCTGGAGTAGGGGTGACCATATCACGGGAACCAGTGTGTTCCTCACAAGTGACCAAAGCAATGACACCCTCTTAGAACTGCTGACAGACCCAGGCAGAGGCGAAGGTCAAACAGGCCTGGCCTTGGCGGGGACCGTGGCATCATTACACAGACATCCTTAGCTGGGGCACCGGGAAGGACAGCCACACTAGTCATTTATTTGGTCCTGCTGGAGGCAGAACTTTGCTCCAAAGCTCTGATTTCACTGTGTCTATTTTATATTAACAGGCTTACTGATTTGCTACCCCAACTAGACAGAACACCTCACTTAGAGTAACTAGTTTGTTTTAAAAGCCACTGTAAATTTAGGACACAGAAGAATAGCCAGGTGACAAGATGCACAGGATGGGTTGTCCCCTCCCTCTTTAAGCTAACCATGCACCCACCATGCATTTCTATGGGTTTAATAAACCAGAACCTCATTAAATGTCTTATTACAGAGGCTTACAGAGCTTTTGTTGGTTTATTTACTTATTTATTGGTTCCTATTTGTTTTCATGACACAGTGTCTTGCCTCATAGTCTAGATTGGCCTTGAACTCTCTATTTAGCACAGACTGCAAGAAAACATTTATTTCCCCGAATCAAAGTTAGTCAGTTAAACCAGGCTTATATTCCCTGGGCCTCCCCACAACTCTGCACCTGTTAGCCTAGCGTGTCACTAGAACTGTGGAGTTCTGACAGTGGGTTGAAACAAGGTCATTAGCTAGCTAAGTCAGGCAGAAAAGCCAGAGGCCATTTCAGCCATGCGTGCTTGCTAACCTGGTTTGTTTTCACACAGGCACCCTTTTTGCAAAAAAGAAATTGCCTTGCCAAGTCACTTTTGCCTTGTGTGCGTGTGTGTTTCTTGGTGTAACACCGAGATTACCCTTTTCCAACAGCCTCCCAGCTGCTGGGATAACAGGCTTGTGCCACCATGTGTGGTTTTGATTCAGAGTTGTACGGTGTTTAACCTCCAGATTTACGCCCTTTTCCTCTCATGCCCCTAGGGTTGAAAGCGGTGAGTCTCTAAGCCCCCATCACTCGGGGGCCCTTTCCCCAGGAAGTCCCCTCATTAGACACAGTCAGGTGTTTTCAAAGGAGCTTATTATAAATAAGACGCTTTTATTCTCCACAAACTCTCTGAGGGGAAGACACGAAGACAGAGACAGAAACTGGCAATAGGACCGGGACTCTGAAAACAAGCAGTTCTGACTTCTGTCCTTGGCCAGGGTGAGCTGGCCATGTGCCGCTTTGAGACAATTGCCACGCTCTAAGAAACATGCTCCCACAGGCTGAAGAAATCAGGCCTCATCCGCTGCAGGTCTCTCCCTACAGTGATAATAAGCTGTCTGTGGGGGCCCGAGCGGCACTTAAGGGCACTGGCTGCTCTTCCAGTGGACCCATGTTCAATTCTCAGCACCCATATGGCAACTCACACCTGTATGTAACCCCTAACCTGTTCCAGGAGATCAACACCCTCACATAGACATGCAGGCATGCAAAACACCAATGCACATGAGATAAAAATAAATTATATGTGTTTAAAGTGTGAGAAGCAGCAGCTGCCGGTCTATAATGTGGACTAAAGGCAGGCCCTATCTCTGGTCCTAACCAGCACGTAGCTCCCACGGGCTCTTTGTCACACCAACTATCCCACACTAAATCAAATGGTGTGAGACTTCTCAACACCCCCTGAAAACATAGTAAAGTCTGTAACGATAACTCTTTCCGCCAGCCGCCTGAGCTCCCAAATAACAGATAGAGATTAATATTAGCTACAATGCTGCTGGCCAATGACTAGGATTATTTTTTTTGCTAGCTCTGTCTTAAGTATCAACCATAACCATTAATCTATATATTTCACAAACACTTATCTTATTGAGGACGCCAGCAGCATGCATCCTCTCTTCCCCGGGGTCACATGGCCACTCTCCCTTTACTACATTTCCCAGAATCCTCCTCCTTTCCTAGTCTCGCCTAACTTGCTTCCCTATTGGCCAACAGCGCTTTATTTATCAGCCAATAAGACAAACACATACACAGAAGGACCTCCCCCACCAAAAGTCAGATATCCCTTTTTGCAGGGGATTTCTCTAGAGACACTTCTCTGCCCCCCTCATGGCACTCACTCTCTCTCTCTCTCTCTCTCTCTCTCTCTCTCTCTCTCTGTCTCCCTTTCTCCCTCTCTCTCCCCATTGTCCCATCTTATTCTCACCCATAAAGAAGTGCCTCTCCAGATTTTAAACAAAAGCTGCTCTTTCTCTTCAAGGTCCTGTTATCCCACTTTTTAAATATACTATGCCTCGCTTTCCTTTAAAAACATTTATTTTCATTTTTTACATGTATGGATAATTTTATACTTTTGTCTTCCAC